TTCATGGAACGACAGAGTTTTTGACTGGTGAGCATATCCAGGTTTAGAACATCAAAACAAATGCAAAAAAAAGATTAGAAGAATGATGATTACCAGCAACAGCAGCAGCAGCAGCTGAATCAGTTGTTTGGAAAAAGATAAATAGCAACACTGAAACTCGAGACATATCGAGAATTTAATGTAGGAAAAGTAGACGAAGAAGAAGAACTTCCCGGATATATTCGAAACGTAACAAGAATTGTCACTGCCGAAAAGCAAATATTCAAACAGCGGTAGATGTGAAAAGCGGTAGAAAAATGTTTCATAAATTATGGTTTTATTCAAGCGTATGAAATTTATTGCCGCAAACACTTTCTCCCACCCACGTCGTGCGCACAAAGTGTGAGCGGCTTCAAGGAAACACAATCGAAATGAAGTGATTTAAAATTCCAAAGGTAAATGCATGGAATGACATTTATTCGTAGCGAATGCGTGCGAAATATTCGTTGGTGTCGAATTGCTCTCTCTCTCTCTCTCTCCCTCCCCCTCCCGTGATTAATGCCATTTCTTCTCACACTTGAATGATTTGTGAACTTTTGGGGCGATCGACTGGTTGCTTCACATGTACGGTATTATGTTGAAAATGTGACGACATTAAAAATCCATACAAACATCGGCATTCAGACACATACACACGCATACACTGAGAGGCTAGAGGAAGAGATAAAGACAAAACGCAAACGAAATATAATTATTCTCGGCAAGTATGTCTACATCCTCTCTTTCGGTGTGGTATGTGTGTGTGTGTGTGTTTGTGTTTGTATGGTTATATGGGGTCTTGCCGACGATGATAATTTGCAATGCAACGTTTCGCAGTTTATCGATTTATGAAAATAATAGACTCTTTCTTGGCTCCGATCCCAGGCCGCTTTTTAAATTTACTCCATTGCGAATTTTAAATCCTACATAAAGATATACACACCGAACACGATACGGTTTACGCTGCACACAAAACCGTATAATATGATTGCGAGACGGCCCCGCTGAACGACGCACTTCACACCGTTTAATATATTGCCCCATTCAATACGGTTCACTTTTTCTCAATCTGTATCCCTTTCTCTCTCTCTCTCTCTCTCTCTCTCTCTCTCTCTCTCGCTCTCGCCTCTTCCGATTTTCTCTGGCTGCATTTTGTATGCTGTGTGTGCCGTACACTAATTGAAATATTTTGCATGTAATGCACTTCGTTCAATTATAGTTATTATTTTCTGGAATAATAAACATTTACGGGAAAAAAAAGAAGAGAAGAGCCCATGATTCTCTTTTGCGCTTTGTGCCTAAATGAATATCAAGACATTTTTCCCGTTCGTTTGTTCGTTTTGTTTTTCTTTATTTTTTTCTTTTTCACACTGGCATTATGATTGGTACCCATTAGTTTTGGATTATTATACGCATTGGTAAAATTGATATAGCACAAAGCGAAATCAAAATAATATAGCATATATGAAATTCGAGATTCTTCTTTTATTATTGACGCATCACATTGCATTTCATTTCTCACTTCTCGCTCTCCATCGATTCGAAAGCGCGGGCGCGACCGCTTATGCAGACACTTATAAATTGTCTGGATGTGTTCGCATTACTCTTTGCATTCAGTCAACCCACAAATTATTTAGTTTTTCATTGCGGTTGGTTTCCAAAACTGCAAAAACGTGAACACCAAATCAAAGAACGGAGAGAAGAAAAAAAAAACACGCACAACTTTCAATGTGCAAACAATAAAAGCGATTGTATACGACACCAAAAAGACGGGTTATAAAATGTCTTTTTATGCTTTCCGATAGAAGAACAAAGGCGGCAACAGCAGCAGCAGCAGCAGCAATAGCAATGACAAAGGCGGTCTCAAAATAATAGAATTTCGCACTCTCTGAAACTGACTGAACTGGTGTGCGTACGGTGATGAGGGGGGGGGGGAGGGTAATGTTGAATGATTCATTCGAATGTGCATGAAATTAGCCGTTACATGAGAACGACTCAACGATTTCTATAGCTGTTCAATGGTACGCGCACATCAATTGACCTTAATTAAATAACACATTTCAACGGGCCAACGTCCACCGACGACGCCGACACTTCTTTTTTTCTGCTGGCCATTCATGTTTTGCTCTTTTTTTTTCATCAATTGCTGCTGGGTTTTTCGTCTTCTGTTTGGTTTTGTTGTGCTTTTCTTTATGAACTTTTCTATTCACTTGGCTTTTTTCTCTCATGAACTTTCAGTGTGTATTTTCCAAACAAAATGCGGAAAAAATGTAACACTTCGTACACAAGTTTTATTAACATATGTTTCGCTTTTCGTAATTAAGTTGTATTCGCTGGAAATCGGCGAGTGTTCAATGACAATGCCACATATTTAAGTATAAACACAGAGTTGAGAAGCTCTTTGGTTAGTATGAACTGAGCTCCGACCGTTCCATTTGGATATGCTGAATATTTCAAATGTTTTCAATCAATTTAATTTATATTTGTTATGTTGTTATGTTTACCATGCTCAGTGCTTGCCTTACACGATACAAACAATCCACAGTAACATATAAATACACAAAGAACAAAAAAAAAACGTTAAGTGTTTGGCGTGCGCTCCGTTGTCACTCGTCACAGTTTTTGCATCAGCACGCTTTCAATGTTTATCAAATATGTTCCTCTCGCTCTTTCTCTCTCTCTCTCTTTCGCTCCCGGTGTCGCTGCTCGACGGCGGTGTGACAACAAGAGCAAAATATCTCGAAGACTTGTTTTTATTTTTCAATTTGAAATTATCACATTTCAACCATTGTTTACGTTCATTCATCAGGATGTCGAGTCGACGTTGTCGACGAGCTCTTTCTACGAGCAGCGTTCTCTCTTTTTTTTTATCGCAAACGAGTAGATAAACATGGCAGTGCTTGAGAATATATTTCATTTAAAATTGATTTAGAAGCTTCATTATTTCTCAATTGTATTCAAATTTACGTCGGGAAAATTTGTCTCGAATGTTCATTCATTTTCTTCATAAATCGCGGACTGTTTTCGTGGAAACGTGAGAGAAAAAAATATTCGAAAAATCACATTGCATTCGATTGCACAACGTGGCATGGTTTAGCTTGAAAATAAAATGTTTCTGATGTGTTTACGTAGGATTTATATTGAAAGTGCATTAAATATCGAGCGACAATGATAGTGTAAAGATCGAGTCGAGCAAGAGAGAAGACTATTTAGAGTTTTACTGAATAGTTTTCAAGGCTTATGTTTATCAAACTCGGCTTCGCACACATATATTTACTAAAGCATTGCCGATAAGATTGTGTATTGTGTGGATGTTTTCATCGGCACGCAATATAATCGACGTTGGAAAAAGTTTGTTCGTTCGAATACAAAGCAGAATGGAGGGGGAAAGAAGAGTACAAAGATTCTTTTTGCACACGTCCAAGACATAGAAAATATTTTGAAATCAAATTGTTTGGAGTTTGATGTGTGAGAAGAGCATAATATTCGTTTGCAGTGTTGTTCGCTCGCTCGATCTCTATTTCTCGTTCACTTTTAATAGCGCTTCGTCTGCTTCGTCAATGTTCATCTTATGATTGTTCGGAATAGGGGCCAAATTTACATCCATTCAACGAGAGAGAAAATTGAAATTCCTAACGGGATTAATTTTTTCTGTTCACTCATGACGCAAAGTAGATTTCTGTGACGATGACGGTGCCAACAGTGTGTGTGTGTTTTGTTTGTCCTTACAGCCACCGTGTGCGACAGCACTGACAATTTATGCTTAATAACATGGAGCGCAAAACTGATGTTAAATAGAATTTGTTTCGAAAAAAGAAAGAGAATAATATTGCACGATGATGAAGGATGCAGTGAAAATGAGAACGCAGAAAAAAATGGAGTTTTTTTCCATAAAAGAAATCAGTACGCGGTCAAGAAGAAATAGGTGTATCGTGTCATACGCATTCGCAAGCATTCGAACGATAAAAGATACGGCAAAACGATAGACAGAACCAACTGATGATGGAACAAAGCTCGTATATTAGATTGCGGTATATGAGTTTTTGTGATAGAGCTCTCCATCTATATATATATATATATATAAATGTGAATTCATTGCATTTCATTTTATTGACAATTATCTTGTGCGCATCGTATCCGCTTAAATTTTCTTGTCATAGCCACTTCGTTATGAATTTTGTATAGCAAACAATTTCCTCTCTGTCGTCGAATTTTTCTTTCCAGTGTCTACACATCAATGTTTCGTCTCCTTTTAAACTGAATATTCCATAGAAGAACGAACAAAAGTAGTGCGAAAGAGCAAGCAAAATAGAAATAATCAAAATATTACCAAAAAAAAAAAAAAACAACCAAGAAAAAAAACACCTCCTTTTTCTCTCAACAAAATCGCATTTGACTGGCGTAAATCTCTTTCGGAGCGTAAAAGAGGCATTTTTCCCAAAAAAAAAAAAAATTCCAATTTACATAATTAAAAGAACTTGACTTTTTCGTAACATAAACAGACATGTAAAGGCACATTTTAGGCTTGGTTATATATATATTCGTATATATTTTTATTCATTATTTGTTTCATTTCTTCGTCCAATATTCGTCTACTTTCAAAACCGTTTTTTGAAAGCGTTCTTTTTGTTGTTTGACCGGGTCCGCACAATCATCTCATTTTTGTATATTAAACGGAAAAGTAAATCAAAGGCTGATGAAATTTCATATTTCTAGTTGGTTGATTGTAGAGAGAATGAAACGAGAAAAAAAAAGACACGAAGAAATCTCCAATTCCATGAAAGCGAATGAAAATGTTTTGATGAAAAATTGAGTCGATTTTGATTAAAATCAATGAAAAAAAAAAACCAAAGCAGAAAATGAAAATGTTGTGGCAGCACATCCTTTTGGTCGTATTAAGTTAATTTGATTGACACAGTTTTCTAATCGCACCGATTAAAAGTCATCAAATGATTTCCATTGGATTAAAAGCGAATACTTACTTTGTGGGGTTGCAAACTGGAAGATAGAAGAAAATGGCAGGCTGCCAGTCGTCGTCAACAACAAATTAATCCAAGTTTGTATATTGTATTGTTACGATTTTTGTTTTCCTCTCTCGTATTTTTTTATTATTCGTAGCTGGTTCCTTCCCTATCTCTTTTAATTATTTCTCCGTGTGTGTGAGTATATGTTTTGTGTGTGCTGTGTTTCAGAAACTGATCTGCCAGTCTGAGGTTTTCGTAATGAATTATCCGTTTGTTGGAATTAGTTTAGAACTGATGGAGTATTAGTCATCCGTTTCATGTATATAATATATAGATCTATATGCTTCCCTCGGTACTTTGGCATACAATTTTGGGGGATATGTATGTACATTCAATTTTTGGAACTTTGTTTTCTTCAACAATTGTTTTCACAACTTTTCACAACACTTTCTCGAAACTATATTTGTTCAACCTATCTAGCTCCCTTTCTACATATATTGTTCATTCACACACATACACAATTTCGAGAGCGCATCTATGTTTTAAATTTGCTACTACAAATTGTTGCAAATTTCTTCTTTTTCTTTTTTCTTGTCACTTATTGGGTTGATTAATTGACTTTGAATTATCAACGAAATTAAAAAAAAAAAAAATGTATAATCATTTATGAATTGTGCTTGAATTACTGCTTCACTTCACTATAAGATAAAAACAGAAGAAAACGAATTAGACGGAAAATCGAAATATCGATAGAAAAATAGCTCCAAATTTGAAAAAAAAAAGAACTGTTCACTGTTTTTTTTTTTCTCGTTCGTTCTCAATTTTCGATACGTTTCATTAACTGTTATTTTTTTTCGTTTCTTCATTTGTTTTTGCTTTTCAATTTTTCACTAACAATCACCATCAAGAACTGTTAACTCGCGTGGAATGCTTGCTTGCGTGTGTGCATGTATACCGTTGTTGGATATGCAAAGTTGACTTTTCAACACCGTTTATTTTTTACGTCTTTCTCGAATTTAGAACGAATCGAGAGTCAAAAATAAAGAGCGAATGAAATAGAAAACAAGAAAACAATTTGGAAAAACGAATTATGAAAATTTCGTCGTTCAAACATCGTGGTTCTTTTGCTCGGTCACAAATGTTAAATTCGGAATTTATGCTGTAATTAATATCAAAAACGATATTTCCCAACTGATAAGCCACTGAAATTAATATGAGCTGGTGTAATTTTAGACGTGCCGTTGTGTGTGACTTGGTAAGCAATGTGACACCGTAAATGGTGTGACCCCTTCCATTATGGATGGACATTGCTTGATATGTGTGTGCTTGTGTGTGACGAAGACGTGACGGGCGAAGAGCAGAAAAGTAGAAGACGGACGAGAAAAAAAAAATCAAGCAACATAAGTTTCTTATTGTCGTCATTCTGGCCGAAATATACAAATCAACAAATAAAAACCCGTACGAATTTTGTGTGCATTTTTCCCGTTCCGCTTTTCCTTTAAAACAATGTCAGAAAAGCACACACATACAATGCTGCACGTCAACATCTCAATTTATTCATGTCGCTTCATGTTTTGATCGCAACTCTTGACAATTTAATGCACAATCACCACGTCAGTTTCATCACCACATTTTGTTGAGTGTCTCGATGACGGTCGAGTTTAGTGTTTGGGTTTGGGTTTTCGATTGAACCACACAAATAAGTGTGAGCAACAAAAATCACGGTAAGAATGATTTTGGTCTTTTTTTTTTCTGCGCTACACGTCACATTAACTGTTGATTGATCCATTAATGAATCAGGTGCTGTTTAGAATATTGATTACAAGGGATTGGCGCAACTAACCGTTTTCACTTTCAACTGTTTTTTTGTTTACTATCGTTGCCATTGTTGTTATGAAAATATCATGATGAAATTAAGATTGTTTATCTTTTCGCTCTGGCTTGTCATGCGAAACAACAAATGTCTGGTGCGATTAAAATTTCGTCAATTGCAGAAGAAAAGAAGGAAGGAAAATGATGAGCCAGCCAGCGTCACTGTTATTTTCACTAAGCAATTGACATAATCTCTTCAGTGATTTTGTATGCGGAAATTTGAGTTGCGCTCCACACATAACTAAATGGCACACGGCATCCAGGTGAGGAGATTATCCATCCATCCACTTCCACTGAAGTTAATTTCACGAAACCGAGAGCGTAAACATACAAAAAAAATAAATAATTACAGCCTAGACCAAATAAGCTGTGCAAGCAGAGGAACGAAATAACAACAACTAACAACAAAAAAAATCGTCAATATTCGACAAATTTTCCTCCCATGTAATGAAAGCTAACACAATCAAAACAGTAATCAATAAGATGTTAATTGATGAACTAGAGCACCGAATATTGAACATCAAACAACAATCACTATTTTTCCATTGATTTTGTTTACATTGCATGATGGCTGAAATTTTCGATTTTTTTCCCTCGGAATTCTCTTCGGGTATCGCATGAAACTAACTGAAGTGGATTTTGGATTGTGAGTGTGTTTTGAAAATTAAATAAATATTGGGTTGCGGAACGATTGAAAACACTAAAACTTGTTTTGTACTATTTGCATTTGCGTTGAACGGATAGTTTTTCGCGAGAAAAAAAATTATTCGCAATTTATGGCGAAATATTATCGTTACAAACACTGCATCGTTCATAATGCGAACTGTATCACTGACTTATTGCCAAGAAAAATCAACAACAACATGGGATTTTCATATCCAGCGATATTATTTCATCGGTCTTTGCACTCAACTCTCACTATGTTTGCACCTTCAACGTCTGCATCAACACTACACTCAAGCATATATAGCACACCCACGAATTCTTTCGCTAAACTGCGATTTTTCCATTTCAATTTCTTTACTCTTTTCCTTTTGCTTTGTCTGCTTCCTTTTCCTTGTTCTCGTTTGATAACACCTAGAACCGCAGAGACTTTGAAATTTCTTTTCCGTTTATTTTTTTTTTATTTCTCTTTCTCTTCGCTCTAGCACTGCGTTCAAAGTCCTTTTGATATCAACGAACGAGAGAAGATACAATCAAAGCGAAATAGCCTTTTCTCAAACACACCACTGAATGACAACGAGCGCAACGAGAGAATAAAAAGCGCCTTGGACAAAAGCAAGCGAGCAAAAATAGAAATAGAAGTATGAATTGCAACACAGAAAGAAAAACCCAAAGAATAAAATTCAATCGAAAGTATTTCTGCTTTGGTCCGTTTTCTCTCGTTTCGTTTCATTCTATTTGATTTGATTTATGCGTTGAAGATTATTCTCTTCCTTTTTTTTTGCTTCCAACATAGTCATCGTCCTCGCCGTTGTCGTTATCGTCGTCGCAATGTTATTGATGGTGATGTTAATGTAAGATGTTTCTAATGTTCCGTTTAGTTTTTCACTTGAAAAAGGAAAAACAAAAATCCCGAAGAAAAACCAAAAACAAAAGAAGAAGAAAAAATAGCAACCGAAACGCATGCACTCCGTGTAATTCCATTGAATACACCGTGTACAGAACAGAACAGCACAAAACAACACAAACTTTGATTCCACACAACTTGACTATATCTGAGCACCCAAAAAAAAAACTTACAGCAATGAATGAATACAATTTTGATGGAAATATAAACCGGTCATATTGAATATTCGTACCATTACCCACGGCGGCAGAAAGCAAACTAAAGTCGAGTACATTCATCTGGATTTGTGTATGCTCTCGCTTCGTTCGTTTTGTTCGTGTGCTTTGCTCATCCGCACATACACACAACCACACATCGGTGTGTGCACGTTCGGGCCAGTGTATGACTTAAGCAGCAAACAATCGTGCTGCATTCGGCTATTCGTGTACATGTATTCGAGCAGGCTGCGTATGTATACGTGCCCATGTGTATGTGTGCGATTCGGTGATATACTCGCATTCGCAATGTGCACACGTTGTAAACGTTCAATGTGCGATGCGGTGGTGGTGTTGTTGGTATATGTGTGTGCGTGTGCGTATACATTCTATGTCCAAAAGAATTTTACGATATTCGTTCGGCCGATTCGTTCTTCTCGGAGGAGAGATAATTTCGTTCAGTCGTTCATATGCTGTATTTTTTCTTTTGTGCTATGCTAGCTATTCGGTGCTGGTGAATTATTGTATATATGCTGCATGCTGCCTGGTTCTGTTTTCGCCACGATAATCGATGTTGGCTTGGTGTTGAAAATCAACTGTGTACATGTGTGCCTTGAATAATATGTAGCATTCTTATGCACACATGATTTCTTCCTCTGCATACGCATACGCACACATTGACAAAACGTTCAATTTCCGAATGACTTGACTTCTCTCACACATGCATGCCTTGGCTCATTTCGGGTAGTTCTGATTTTTCGATGCTACCAAATCGTGTGCAAAGTGTACAAAGCGGGACGTGTGTTTCATTAAATCGTTTTTGTTTACTTTTCGCAATGCATGCGTACATGTGAGCCAGACATTTTTCGTCAAAGTCATTTTCCCCGCCACGGCCGTTTCGTGGTATAAACATATACCGTGGTGTTGGTTTTATTATAGCAATGCTGTGATTTATCCCTGTATTCGTAATAGTTGCGTTGCACGCACTCTCGGCTATACGGCTACCAATTTCCCCACATTGAAATTCGTCGATGTGTTTGTATGCCTCTTTCGGCCGCTTGTGATTCCTTTTGAAACACCACCGCTGCCGCCACCACCACCACCAACATCGTCGTCGTTGTCGCACCATCGAAATTTTGCACTCTCTATCCCGATTTTTGTTTATGCTCTGTTTCGTTCTGTTCCGTTGGTGTTTGGTAGTCTTTGGTAGTCGTCAGTGATTTCTGTACTGCATGCATATCTCTATGGCTCCCTCTTGGCAAACATATATTGCACGAATATATTCGCATTACGTGTGCCATTCATTTGAGACTTGATTGAAGTTATAAAATTGGTTTCCATCGCATTCCATAAAAACTTATTGGGGGGACTTATACATTTTGTTGGATGAACGATCGACGATACACACGATTTGCCGCACAAACTCACACACACACCGACATACACCATCTCTACGGGACACACATACACACACACACATCGACGAGAGATGCGGAACAATCCGAGAAATTGCATGGTCGGTAGACACATTACAACGACACAGCTATAGTTTGTACATAGATGGTTCAATAGCCAAACTAGTTGGTGGTATGTGATCACATTGGCAGTGAGCATAAGTGGCTCGCTCGGTGGTAGCAAATTTTTACATTGCCCGTTGCACCTTTGATCAAAGCGGTTGTATCTGTGTGATACACATCATTTTCACTATGTATGAGCGGTGTCGCATTTTTGCACAATTTTAAAATACGGAAATTCTCTGCAAAAAATACCCATAACACATTTCAAAAATTAAAGTATAGAATCCCATCTGCAGATAAAGGGAGAAAGAGAATTTTGGTTCCGCCTCGAGTTTTGCCTTTTGACTGAAGCGATTTAGTGAGAATGTACGTATTTCTGTTCTGCTTTTTGCCTAGCAGGAAAAAAAAAACCCTTAATCCTGTACATTGAACTCTTGAGTTTTCAATTGGATTTGTGCCAATGTGGATGGTGCAATGGCTCTTTCTCGAATTGCCAAATGTTGATTGTAATGTCATTTGATTTTGTCGAAGGAATCGCATTTTGCGTCTTTCCATCGTCTCTCTCTCTCTCTCTCTCTCCCTCTTTCTCATTCACTGACAATATCTCCGTAATTTATTCGCGTCAATTTCACAATGAACATTCGCCACAGCCATATATGCAATTACACTTGACATATACGCATCAGCCTCTCGTTGCTGAATTTTGCAACGAATGCACCGAACAGTAACAGCAACAGCCGTAGCGGCAGCAGAAGCCATGCAGTGTGTCAGAGAATGACATGGGTTACCCCGAAATCGAATCTTGAAAATGGTTGCAAGCAATTTACCCGATTATATTGGATAATTCCGATCATTTCGAATGCAAATCAAACAAAATGCAGAGAAACTTCGACCAATTGTTGGCAATTAAAATGCTGAAAATAATAAATTGGAAATTAAACTAATTAAATGATATGTCAAACGATTGTCCGTGGAACAAGGCGAAAGCCGGAGCACTGTGCACCTCTTTTGCTCGTTTGCCATGGTGTGCAAGTGTGTGTGTGTGTGTGTGTGTGTGTGTGTGTGTCATGTTCACTAGTCGGTCGCTGGGAAAATGGAATCGAGAGAGCAGAGATGAGTGCGGAATAAATCGGATCGATTCATGTATAAATTATCGCATTGGTTTTGTAAATGCGTATTTGTTCGTCGATATTCAAATTATCTAAACGTTTGTAAATTTTGATGTTGGCTGAGAAACACACTCAACTCTCACCTTCTCTACCTCTCTCTTGTCTGCTATTTCGACGGTACGTGTGCTCATCACCGATGATTCATCATTGATTGTCGATATGCACTGAACCAAAAACGGAACGGGCGATGGTGATGCTGGTGCGGGTGGTGTGCTCCATTTATCGACTGCGAATGCAATGCAATTTTAATATCAAATTTGTACTAGAAATCGAATGCAATTCAAACCTTTCACGAACAGCCTTGCACTCGATAGATACGATCTCTCGAACGCATCCGATGGCTGTAGTCATGCGTGTTTTTTTTTTCGTTTTTTTCTTCGTTTTGTTGGGTTTTCATGCTCTTGCAAATAGACAATGCACCTTAACATTCTGGAGCGGTCAATAAATCGCTTGTGCATTGAATTTTGAACTGCAATTTAGTGATATTGAGCTTCATCAAAACATGAAACATTTTTCATTGTGGTTAGATAAGCGGGCTATTTCTCTGTCCCTCTCTCTCTCTCTCGCTCTCTCTCTCTCTCTCCATATGTCTCTCCCTCTTCGCTCGCTCGTCGTAATGTCAACTATTTGGTGCAGGCAAACGAAACAACATACAATTGACAGCGATATTGAGATGTATGCCAAAACACTAGTGCACACACATCTAGACACACATACAATAGACTCGATCAATATTCGATGGTAAAATCATTCGGTTTACCGAAACAACCAAATTGTGCATGCACTTGTGCAAGTAACTTTACAATTTCATCACAACGCTCTCTGTACAAGCAAATTGATTTTTGCTGACTCGTGTATATGTAACCTAGTCAACCATTCTCAATTGTGTATTCACGTTGCAGGGGTAGAAAGACAGTGCCAATGTCGTGCGTGGTGTAGTGTACATGTAATGAAATGAATGCGTTGGAATTTGTCTTTCATCCGAAATCAACCAACCCCATATCCCATTCCACGCACGACATCAATGAGCCAATTTTGAAGTAAATTTCTAGAAATTATGAAATGCATAACGAAGGTGAGCAAGATTCTCTCTGTCAAGGGACAAGGAAATATATGGACAAATCACGCACAGGTGATGCAGAGGTGTAATGCATATTTTTGCACCATCATCCTCATGTCGTTCAAACCATTTTCACCATCCAAATGAACACGAAGCATATGTATATATGTAGAGCGTAATAGAGAAGGCTTCGAAAAACCCACATCGAGTATACATTCTGACTCGTAGAATGAGCGATGTGCATGTAATTTGGCAAATGCATTTTCAGCTTTTGAATAAGAATGAGTTTTTCTTTACTTTTGATATGACGCTGCGTTGGA